GGCCCAGCCTACGCCCCGCCTCCGGCCCCCACTTAGGTGCTCGCGGGAGGATGCCCCCCACAGTCTGTCCGACTGGCCAGTCGCTCGCGCTCAACTTCCGGGGCTGTGCCCTGGCAACCGCGGACGCTACCGCCGGCGCCTCGACTACTTCCTACGGCTGGCGACACAACTACTTCCGGTGTCAGACTTGCCTGGCTTGTCTCTGTCCTCGTTTCCTTGTAGCTGGCTGCGGAGGGGTTTAGGTTTCAAGAAATTTCAGGTCGCCCTCCCTCACAACCTTCAGGCCCCAGAAATGAGACAGCAGGGTTAGGGCGTGGGACTGAGCCTAAAAGTAGGAAGTAGAGTGGGATGATTAGGTTCTGGGTCCCGTCCACTATTTTACCTCCACTGTCACTAGGCTTCCCCGTTTGGAAAATCGGGTCTGTAATCGACCTACCTCTAGGTTATTGCAGGATGACAGGAATGTGGCACTTAGGATGTGCTGATTAGTAGGGGCGCCTCTCAAGGATCACCTCCTTGGTACAGCATTCTTAAAAATAACTTTTAAAAATCCCTTCTGGTTAAGAAAAGGCAGCCTCCCCCAAAGAGAAACTCAAAACCAAGACTGTACTTGGATCTGAATCTCAGCTCCCAAAACCGACTGTGTGCCTTTAAGCAGGTCTCAGTGCTTTCCTGAGCCTCAGTTTCCTTTGTCTATAAATTGAGGGAAACAACATCCATATTGAAGTGTCGCTGAAGGACTAAATAAAGCAAAACACAAAAACATAATGTGCTTGCCATAGCATATCATACACAGCTGCTCGAACACTTGTAGAATTGGCTCATAAAAACACTTGTGGGGCCAGGGATGTAGCTCAGCTGTGCCACACCTGCCTGGCAAGCTCAAGGTCCTGCGTTCAAATCCCAATACTGGAAAGAACAAAACAAAACACGTATTCCAGACCTCCCTCAGCTACAAAAGGACACTTCAGAGTCAGCATGAGAGAGGAGAGCCCACAGGGGCCACATACCTGCTTTGTACCTTCCAGATGCAAATACCAGCCTCTTACAATTTCTTCACCAGGAAGCGAAAATAATAATCTCACTTCTCAGGAATACTGAGATGATTTTAAATCCCCGGTAAATAGCACCTAGGAAGGTGCTTAACATGTTTTACCAGTTCCTTTTCCCCAAGCAGCCTACCCAGCCATTTCAAAGACTTATCATCAGAGCCACAGTACCAGGAAGCTCTGATACAGACAGCAGGAAAATAACAATGGGGACACTAAATACATAGCAGGAAATATTCTGGCTTATGTGGAGAATTAGCTGGGCACTAGGGAGCCCCAAGAGGAAAAGACAGGAAGCTAGCTGGGTGTGATGACCACGCATGTAATCCTAGCATTCTGGGAGGCTGAGGCAAGAGGATTGCAAGTTCTAGCCTGGCCTGGATAGCTTAGTGATTTAGAAGAACTCGTCTCAAAAAACAAAACAAAATAAACCCCATGAGGGAGTGGTTAAAAAATAGGAGACTACCTCTCAGGGATAATCTAATCATGTGAATTTTGGTTTTGTTTTGGAGGTTTTACTTCAGGGGCACTCTGACACTGAGCTACATCCCAGCTCTGCCACTGAGCTACATACATTCCCAGCTCTTTTATTTTTGAGACAAGTTCTCCCAAAACCATCCAGACAGAACTTAAATATGTAGTCCTCTTGCCTCAGTCTCCCTGAGGGGTAGGATTTCAGGCATGTGCCATTGCAACTGACTGTGAATCTAATTTTCTTTTTTTTTACTTTTTGAGGTAGGGTCTCACTGTGTAGTCCAGGCTGACCTTAAATTCACCTTGTAGCCCGGCTGGCCTTGAACTTGCAGTGATCTTCCTGCCTCAGCCTCCTGAGTGTTGGGATTACAATTCATGCACTACTACATCTGGCTACTTTTTTAAAAATTAAAAAAAAAAAAACACTTTAAGGCTGCCAAGGCCCTGGGTTTCACCCCCAGCAATGAAGATAGAAAGAAAAAGATCCTTAAAGTCTTCTCATTGCCATCAGGAAAAAAATTCAGATTCCTTAGTGTGTTTTCAGTCTCAGTGTTAACTTTTATCCTGTACTATACATTGGCTTGGTTCCCTAGAACGGTGGCGGTGAACCTATGGCAGGTGTGTTGTAGTGGACTGTTTGTATCACTGAAAGCTCCAAAAGGTACTAAGTTCAAGGGTAAATTGAAAATATCAGTATCGGGCCGGGGATTTAACTCAGTGGTTCTGCTGCCTGCCACCCCTCCCACCAAAAAATTTAAAAAGTGCTTTGTCTTTGGGCCGGGGATTTAGCTCAGTGGTTCCAGCACCTGCCTTACAAGCACATAGGGCTGGAGTTCTATCCCTAGTACCCAGTACCAAAAAAAAAAAAAAAGAAAAGAAAAGAAAAGAAAGAAAAGAAAATATCAACATCACTGCATGATATATAGCAAAGCATTAACTTCCATAATATAAAGCTAGGAATGGTGGTGCATGCCTATTCTTCCAGCACTCAGGAGGCTGAGGCAGAAGGATCTCATGAGCCTAGGAGGCTGAGACCAGCCTGGGCGACTTAGAGAAAATTAAAGCAAGGTAAAACACATACATATAATATGCAAAGAAGCTTCACAAATCCGTAGGGAAAAAATGCAATACAGAAACAGATTTAAGGCCGGGGATTTAGTTCAGTGGTGCCACCGCCTGCCTTGCAAGTGCAAAGTTCTGAGTTTGATCCCTGGTACCAAAAAAACAAAAAACAAAAAACAAAACAAAACACCAAAACCAACAAGGTTTAAACTGGGCAAGGTGGTGCATGTCTGTAGTCCCAGCACCCAAGAGGCTGAGGCAGGAGGATTACTGTGAGTTTGAGACCAGACTGGGCTACACAGTGAGTTCAAGGCCAGGCTGAAGTACCCAGCAAGATCCTGTCAAAAAAAAAAAAAAAAAAAAAAAAAAGCCAGGTGGGGTGCATCTGTAATCTTAGCTGCTCAGGAGGCTGAGGTATGAGGATCGTAGGTTTGAGGCCAGTCTGAGCAACTTAGGAAGACTTTGCCTCAAAATAAAAAATAAAAAGAGCTGA